TAAAAATGAGAAATGTCACAGCGACAAAGTTTGCTGGCAGATTTGGCAACTCGATTTGGCTGTGCTTCACCTTCACCTTATGTCAACTTCTTCTGTTTCCAAAATCTATACCTCTAATCCACAGTTATTATTTCAGATTTTTTTTCTTCACTTGCTGTTACCTTTGTTTTTCAGCATTTTTATCTCAAGCCCTCTTCCTCATTTCACACTTCGTATGTTTAAATTTTCATTGGGCATCTATCAGCCAAACTGCAGCCAAAATATTATTCATTCATTTTTAAAAATCTTTTCAAACTAGTACACTCACACATACCCTCTCCACATAACATCCCATCTTTGTTCTTTTCCTTGTTAGAACTGCTGCTGAGAAGAAACAATTTCCTTTCTCCTCTATTATTTAACATGTTTCTGTGATGAACAACTTGGGAATTTACTAGCCTGCCTGCCTTACTCTGATGTCTTTCAGATTTCTTGGAACGCGAGTTCCTAGAATTCCTAGCCAATATAGTATTGATCATGGGAATATAGTAATGATCATGGGAAACTTGTGCAAGACAAAACAGTTAAGAAAATTGGATTTAAAAAAAAAAGGGTAATGCTGAGTCTATAAGGCAAGCTACCATGAAAAGGAATGTAGGGCTACCCGATCTGCAAAATTTCAGAAGGTGACTATATGGCAAGTAAAGACTACGCTACTTCTTGCTATTTAGTGGTCCTCTTGATCTTTGCAACCCAGAACTGATAGTCGTAAGAAAGGATCTAGCCCCTGCATTGGCTCAGAATTCCATCATTCTTCATTGCCAGGAAGAATAATTGACCCTGTTATTTTAAACTCAGTTATACCAGTTATTCAAAGAAATAATACACAAAGAGGTATTTAAGCAGCTGAGTGCCTGTCAGAAGGAGCCCATAAAGGCAAAGGAATTGACCTCCTCATTTTATATCTTTATCAGTCAACTTTTCCCCCTTGCCAAAGGAAACTGATACAAAGATATGGAAGAACCTGAATCAAGATAATTGAATTCAATTGGTCATGAGATATCAGTTCTACTAGGTAGCCCAGACCAGGAAATCACCTCCACAGGAAGGCTAAAACTATTTTTATTGAGTTTGGCTATAACAACAGCATCTTACAAGTCTGATTGTGCTGTACCTCCTCCTCTTTCTTATAGTTCAGTGAATTAGGGAGGTGCCTGCCTGAGCAACTTCCAAATGTTATCTCATTCTGAACATTAAAAAAATGCTTCAGCCCCTTTTGCCTAGGTAATGGTTCCTGCATATCTCTGTCAAGGTGATCTTCCTTACTTACATAAGCCAAGTCTATTTTTTCTTGTAGATTTCATAAGAGGCTATATTCAGCTAACACACAGAGATAATCTATTGATGGGGATGGATGGTAATTTTGTGGCAAAGATTTAGAAATGTTTTTTTAAACCCTGCTGTTGGAGTTTCCTTCTCCCACCCCTCTTTTCAGCCACAATAACTCCCACTGTGGCCATGGGGAAGCAACAAACTGTACTTCCTACCTTGCTGACAGATCAGATGACAGAAGCTCTTGACCTTGCATGGATTATCATCCACTTGTTGGACCATTTTCCTCTTCTTTGTGAAACTAGCAGCACCTAGACCATCACTAGTGCCTTACAGTTCCTTTTGGCTGCCCTTCTCAGAGACTAAATATATAACCTCATCACTCTGGAAGCTGTGCAAGTCCACACTTGCTTCCACATTTTAAGGAAAACAGCTAAATCAAGAAGTCATTTAAATGAGTAGAAAGCAAGTTTGAATCCAGCCTCCTTGGTCATTTGCATTCATTTATTTTCTCACATTGTTTCAGAAGTTGCCAGTAGCTTCCTTCTCATCCCTTCCCTGTTCTACTTCCCTACAGTATTTTAGAAATGAACAGGACATATATCACTGAAATGCAGCCTGACTGTTTGAAGACTTGATCAAGAGACATGTTGCAGAAAGGAAAACAGAATCACTTTAGAAAAAAGTTCTAAGTGGCTATTACTGCCTGAAAAAGCAGTAAATTGCACCTCTCATTTCCATCTTATCTTCAAAGAATGAAACACATGTCATCACACCAAACTAGAATCCTGAGAGTTGCACTACATCTTGTACTCTGGCTGGATAAGTGCTAGTTAGACTAGTTGTGGACTCCACATCTTCAGAAGGAAGTGATTTGCTGTGAAGAGACAAAAGATGATTAAATGGAGAAACAAATGTTGGGATGTTACATGCAGCTAGTGAACACTGTTTTGTTTAGAACTGAAAACTTTCAGTCCTGAAGGTCAGTAAGAGTTATACACAGTTTAAATCACAGTGCCCTGGACATTTGTGGACAACCTCTTTTGCAATTGAGAAATAATACTGAATTTCTCTCAAGAATTATTGAGGATAAACAAATTCAAAAACTGTTAAGTCACATAACAGTTGAAGTAGTATTAACATTGATAGCATTTTATAATTCCTTCCTCAAATTATTAACCAGCTAGCTGAAAAAAAATATTTTGAACTTCTTACACATCAAGACTTTGCTGCTTTGCACTGACAGTAAACTGGATTATTTCACAGTAACACTGCATAGGACAGAACCTTGTCATGTGTACCTAATTCTTTAAATAATTTTATTTCCTAGCTTCCCCTTGTATGTGCAGCTATGATGAAATGTTCCAGGTAGGTCACAGAGACAGCAGCTTTTATATAATACATCCTTAACACTCCTGCGAACTCGTGGTCCAGAGCTACATGGATGGATGCAATGGGTGGACAGGGATTCCAAAAAACAGCCACAATACTGAAATGACATGGTGAGAGACTTGGACATGTAATATGGTTTTTGGTAACTTGTAGACATCAGCGCCACTAACCAACAGAAATGGTACAGAATCAGAATAAACTTTGTTGATAGCAATGGCAACCATGGATATGCTGAATATAAAAGCTTTCTCTTGAGGAATGAGAGCTGTAGTTTTGTAAATATAAGGAAAATGACAGATCCACCTTAGAAAACAGAGCAAATGTACATAGAGAGGGATACTAGTATGAGTCTTCCTTTAATGCTCAGCTAAACTTTAACAATGGCCTTCACTGGAGTACCTTATGTGATGAGGACTGGAGGACATCTACAATAATTCTGAAATCTATACACATGTACTGCAACAGAGTTTAGAACATGCTCATCTGTGGTTCTAAAACTGCAGCTTTACTTCCATGTGTATTTTCAAACAGAATCTGCTGCTTCTGTCACCCCTCCTGGACATGACTTTTGATAGAATCTCAAGTTGATATCCCTGTATGGCATTGTGCTCTAATTGTAACTAATACCTTCTGGTTTTTTATTAAAATAATTAGATAGCAGAGATATTTTGTCTTTTTTCTTCCTTCAATCAAATATTGTCTCACCTCTCACAGAAAGGCCTGTGCTTTCTGAACTTTTGTTAAGCCATGACATACAATTAAACAGAATAATCCTTTTGAGTTCCATCAAGGTCTTGCAAAATTTAGAGTATTTACATTCACAGGGAAAGGTTGCACTGAGCTTCTCATCCGTGATTGTGGTACTTGCAATGCTTCTAAGGGCTGTAGAAGCATCTCCCATGTTCTTCAGTGTGAGACACAGAAAGACAAGCATAGCAGAAGCATATCCTGCGGGATATTCCACACAATTTAAACAAGAGCTAATGAAGGAAGAAAGGGAGGGATGGGAACATGCTTACTAGACTTTCTGTGGGAATTTTATTCCATAGGATATGTTTTCCAAGGACTTTGGAATTGTATGAGAAGTATCAGGGTAACAAATGACAGAGATGATGATGATTTATTACAATTAAAGAAGACAGGATGCCTGCAGGATCTGAATACATAATCATAATTAACAGTCAGTTATTATCTGTCAGCCTATCCTACTTCACAGGATTATTGTGGGAAGAAAATGAGATATCTGTTACCATGAACTCCCAGAAGAAAGGCAGGATATACATAAGTAATATATTTTTAAAAAATATAAATAAGCAAAACTTTCTGAAGGCTGCTAAATGATCAATATTGAACTTTTTTTTCACAGCCTGCAGTTACAAACTTGCTTTCCCCCAAATACCATTAGATAACACTTTGGACTTATACAGTTTATGTATTATCACCGTTTAATATTAAAATGGTCACAACAACCTATGCACATTTTTTTTTCTTGTTCAAAATATTTTGCAAAGTAAAGATAAACTAATAATTTCTTTCAAAATAAGTTGTAAGAGAAAGAAAAAGTCAACTTTTTCAGCTTATGGCCTGGCAGACAACACTTGGATTTTAATGTGGATTTAAGGACATCTACAACACAGGCCCTTTTGATGTGAGGTTTACATTTTTTAAATTTAATCCAGGGAATGTAGGACTTGGATACTGCCAATCATCTTTCTTTCCCATATGTTACTAGTAATGACATTTTAAGAAAACCAAAACCAGGCTGCAGCTTAAAAAAAAAAGAAACAACCCATAATTTATTAACTTAAATTTTAACCATGTCTTCCCTATGCCTGGGGTGGGTTTAACATATTAATAATTAAGTTTCTTCTGGAAGTGTACGATGGATGCTTTAATCTGAACTTTGGGAGAATATTACCATTGGAGGCATATATCTGTTCTCCTTCTTTACCCATGATAGTCCGAAAAGCCTTATTCTGTGACAGAACTTTACTGTAGAACTCCACCCCACCCCTAGCAAAGCTGGGAGAAATGGAAGCTGTATTTCTGTCTGTCCTATAATCAAATGCCTGGCTTATGGTATCGTATAACAGACAATAGCCCACAAACCCAAGTGCCACAACTGCCATGTTGTAAATGCCTCGGAATAGCACTGGAGCATAATATAAGCCCAAGACCTGCTTTACAGCTACCCCAGAAATACAGGACCCAGCTAGACAAATGGGACCAACAGCTGCACATGCTAAAGGTCTATTTTGTTGCAAATTGATAATCTCTCTTGCAATGGCAAACTTCTGAGCCTCTGGAGAAAGCGTCAAGGCATCCTTCAAGGTCAGGCCCTCTGTGCTTGTCCAGTCCACTTTCCTGCCTTTAAGCAAAACACCTATCTTGGCAATCTGCTGTTCACCACTGGATGTATCACTGAAATGATATGGGATGCCCACTACACAGCCTTTGTGTCTCCATGGTAGTCCAGCACTTACAGGGTGCAACGTGCAAGTCTTAATGGCATCATAACAATCTGCTGATTTCACTTTGACATCACGGAGGATGTCATAGAACAGGCTCTGCAAATCTTCTGAAAGCTCCAATGGCTTTCCATGGTCCCAGGCCTGGTATATTGTTTTGAACAACTCCTTTGAGAAGATGTGAAGAGTCAGATTGGCACCAAATAATCCAGCACAAGAAATGGACAAAAAAGCAGTCCTATGTTGCTCCATTATAGAGACTGCCTTCCACAGGGAATGAAATGCCATGTTCAACTTCCAGCCTGATTCTGCTCAAGACAAAAAAGAATATATCCGCACAAAAAAATCTCAGTTAGTAGGGAGAATTACAGTACTTTAAACTGACAGAGAAATGCATACTGTATTCAATAATCAGAAAGCAACTGCAGGAGGTGCAGTAATGTGTATGAAGCACCCCTTTTCATGCTGTTACAACAACCACATCTGTAAAGGTAAATGCTGACTGACTGCAGTAAAGGCAGAGGGTTGAAACACTTTTTTCTGCACAGGCTGTTCTTTGAGATCAGCAACGTGAGGCTAGTCAGATGACAAACAACATGTCTAGTTTGTCCTAACAAGAACAAAACCAGCAAGAGCATGTCAGCTGGACAGTTTCCTAACATATGCTATACCCTGACTGATAAAGAGACTACTGTAAAAGGTATCAACACTTTCATTATCTTCAAAAATACATTTTATTAACTCAGTAGGACTTACATATCACAAAATGTATATAAGATTTAACAGTTCCACTACAATTAAATGCACATACAGTATGTTTGGCATCAGGCCTCTTGGAGCTCAATAGAATATGCTTTCACATTCATATGGATTTACATTAATCTTGCATTTTGCTCACCAAACCTTACAGTTCACTTTCTTTTTTTTCTTTCCCTAAAGTCAGGCTTTTCATCTCACCTACCTGTTTAAACTATTCCCTTTTGACTCTGATTATTTCTTTCTATCTATCCATCCATCCATCCATCCATCCTCATTTCTCATCCTTTCCTCAGCTTGGAAATCATAAAAAGCACAAAAGCACAGGACACATTTTCAAAAGCATATACTTTCTAATAGCTGGGATGTTATTTCAGAACTGATATACTGAGGATGCTAACTTTGCTTTTCAAGGTGTGTCTTATCTGAAAATCCCAGAAAGCTAAAATTAGTACTTCTTTTTCTAGATGCATACTCTATACTTTATAGATGTGGTTGTTATTAAAAGAATTTGTCATGACTGTAATCAGTACGGAATAGTGAGAAAAAGTGTTGGATTCAGGTTCCAATTGCCAGTCAGCCATTAAGAGACTAATGTTGGGCTAATTTCTTATTCTTCAATTTATACCTCACATGATTGTGCTTATAAGCAATGCCCTGAATCATCTGGTGGAGGAACTGTATTTTTTAAAAAATTATAAAACAACTATAACAATACATTATTCCCAATTTTACTTTTTAGTTAGAGAAGCATATCAGAAAGGCATTATTCTATTGCATTTGTTGAGTTCTTTCTATATCTGTCTTACAATTTATTACAGCCTCATAATTTTAGATTTTTTAAAAATAAATTGATCATGATGATGAGAAAAAGCAATACATAGGGCAATAGCACTAGAGCAGTGTACTAAAATAGGCAGATAAACCACAGGATCAGTTAGTCAAAAAAAAAAAAAAAAGGTCAGAGGAAAGGAATACAATTCATTGTCTCATTGCCACTGTTGTCCATGTATATTATTTCACTTTCTGTTCAATTGTCAAGCACCAATATGCTTAAGATAGCATAATACCCTTGAAGCACTTACACATTTTTTTACAATGCTACACTGGAGCACAAAGTTTGTCAGCCTTAACCCCCCCTTTTTTTTTGCTAGAACAGCAATCACATCGTAACTTCCGGTTAACTGCCGATTACATAACATAGTTCGTAGACTAATAAAATGATTCAAGGGCCTTAATTAAATTAACACTGCATTTGATTGCCGTGGATTTTATTCACACCTCACCCTCTTTTGCTTTATAAGTCAGTATACAATTCTTCACTGGGAGTCGGGCAGCATAAATTATACTATTATGGTTGTTGTTATCCTCAACTCAGTACAAAGCGCTATACCTCCATTAAGAACCCCACTGAGACCTATTCCCAGTCCATTCACTCTACATTACACATCACGCTCTTCCCTTTCTAAATAACCGACGTTATACAAAGCATAGAAAAGGACTTTCACTTTGGCTCACTCTATCGCTTCCCAATTGGGTTATTTATCTTTTAATCTGAAAACGAAGACGCGTACACATAATATACATAGGTACACAAAGAGATAGTACTCGGCTTCTACATTAGCACGCAACTTAATAGGGAGGAACTGCCCACAATCCCACTTCTACCGTACTCCTTTCAACAGCCTTCACGCCAGACAGCCCAGGAGGAAAAAACACACGTGGATGCCGTAAAGCAGGTGAGCTGCCGCAAAAGCCGAGCGCCGCAACGCGGAGAGAGAACGTCACCGGGGGAGGTCGAGTTGCTATGGCGACGAGGAGGCCTTCTGGTGCAGGGTCGGTTCTTGCCCTGTGGCTGATTAGGACCTTCGCGTTGCTTTTCTTTTCCCTTTCTTTGGCTTTCCCAGTGCTCGTTTTCTGGCCCGCAGACCAGCCCTTAGGAAACTTGAGTGAGGAGTCAGACAGACTAAGACCGGCGGTGTCTTCCGGAGAGAGAAGGAATGATGATGGGAGGAAGGAAAAAAAGGAAAGGAAAGAAAATCGCGCCTGCAAATACCTGTTAGGTGGAAACCACCTCAGGCAGTTCCCTGAGCTGCCTGCGCTTTAAATCTGTTTCCTGTCCGGGGATTATCTCCACACTATCCATAATCATCTGCAAACATATGTCCTATTTAATATAACTATGCCTTAGAGGCGAGGGAAGCCAAAGACAGCTGTTGAGTTGGTGGGGGATGTCGCTTGGGAAAAAATGGCCTGCCCTTGCTTACTGTGGACAGCTGTGGAAATGGCCAGATGTCTTGGAGAAGGAAAAGGGCTCTTTAGCACAGAAATGCTGCAACGAGGCTACCTCGCTGGAGGTGTCCTGAGAGAAAGTTCCCCCAAAGAGGCCTTGACAAGCCCATCTGTTTTGTATCCTCGCTAGTACTAAATACTATTAGTATTTTATATCAGGAGTGGGAATGATCGAGGCTACTTGCTGTATTACAACTAGATCCCTGCGATCAAACTCAGGACAGGTTTTTGTGTGTGTTGCGTGTGTGTGTGTTTGTGGCTGTATGTTGCTCATTTGAGATACAGCCGCAGATACAGTTTCCTACACTTGCTGTTAAAACACAAGTTCTGCTGGTGTGTTTTTAAAATGTTCAAAAGCAAGCAGTGGAATCCACATCTTTTCTGTGTGGTTTAAATAAAGGCAAAAGCAGCAAGATAAATGTATCCTTTCTCCACACTCCCTATCCCCTTTAAAGTCTTGTTTTCAAATATATATAAAAACACTTTAGCAATTGTATGCACACCTTTCTGTTATTATATGCATACACATAACCATACTGGCTAGGTTTACTCACTTGGGCTGAGCCATAAAATAATTTGTTTGGCTTTACTTTAGTGTGGTATATATATAAACTAAGCTGTTGCAGTTTGTAAACCATGGATTTCTCTCACCCACTTCATAATTAACACTAATCCCAAAGCAGGGTAGCAATATAAATATATTTATATTTATATATAAATGTAAAACAATATAAAGCAATGTAGCCCTGGTCATCTCTTGGTTAGACTATTGCAATGCACTCTACATGGGGCTACCCTTGAAGAGTATCCAGAAGCCACAGCTGGTTCAACATGTGGCTGTGTAGGTGCCCCAAGGATGGCACATATAACACCTTTACTATGGGAGCTGCATTGGATGCCAGTTTGCTTCCAGGTCCAATTCAAGGTGTTGATTATAACCTTTAAAGCTCTACATGGCATGGGTCCAGGTTACCTGAGGGACCATCTCATCCCCGTTACATCAACCTGTCCCACCCAGTCAAGCAGAGAGCACATTGTGGACCCCCTCAGTGAGAGAATGTCGGCTGGCAGGCCCAGGAGGAGAGCCTTCTCTCTTCTCTGCCGTTACCCCCAGCCTTTGGAATATTCTCCCCACAGAGGTGCTGCGGACAACTACCCTCCCGGCTTTCCGGAAAAGATTAAAGATCTGGCTCTGCCAGCTTGCATGGGGCAATAGGAGCTTTAGTTGTCCCTGGGGGTGGTTAGCACACTGATAACTCTCCCTGAGTTATTTGCCAATTCTCCATCATTCTTGGAATATATTTATTATTAAGATTATTTTTATATTGTATTTTAATTGATTTTATCTCTGCTTTGAGCCACCCAGAGTCGTTTCAGTGAGATGGGTGGTGACCAATTTGATATATAAATAAATAATTTTTTTAAAAAAGTGAAACAGACCAGTATATCTAACCAATCACAAATTTTTTTCATCGTAATCCAAGAGTCATGTGGTGCTCCCTTGTGATGGTAGATATTTTGGTTTGTTTTTAAACTTCTTCTGGAATTGTTGTATAGTATTTTAATGTGAAAGAGGCTTGCTTACTGAACAGGAAAATGTAGATTATTTAATTTACAACTGATGCATACATTTATTTTTAGTTTAGAGCAAATAGGTTACTATTTTTGGGACTTGCTACATTTGTGGTTTGAGGCTTGAATGGCAGGAGTTGGCCTGATAAGGGATTTTGGCCCCTTCCATACAGCCATTGGCTTCTCTTCCTTCCCTACCCCCTGCAACCATATGCAGCATTTTAACACTTGGCAGGTGTCCCCTCCTTCCCCTTCTTGATCTGGTCATTGCTTCCTGAAGCAAGCCATTGGGGATTGTTAAAAATGGCAGCTAGTCAGTACCCTATTTTTTCCTTATTTTGCCTTTGCTACAATTTGTTTTCAAAGGGAGGACAAAGATTAAAACTCTGACTGGCCACTGTGCAGATGGAACAGCAGTGCCATCCCACAAGAAAAGTTGGAGGATGAGAAGAGGAGGAAAATCCCACAATGAATCAGTAGGCAGGATGAGGCTGGAGTTCCTGCCAGTGAGAAACTGGCTGCCCCATAGCTCCAGAGGAAATACTGCAAAACTGCCTTTGCAGGGTTTCTTATGAGACAGAAAACGAGCTAGAAGTTAATCAGCTCAGCTTTCCAAGCACCACAGAAGTCACATCACTGGGATTGGTGCCACATCTAAAAGGAGGCTTGTATGGAGTAGAATGGAAGGATTAGTAGCTTAGATAAATTATTTCATTACTTAATAAAATACAGCATTTAAAACTAATTTCTCTTGTAATATAAATATGTGGTGCTTTGTTTTCCTAAGTTTAGGTAGCTTAACTGTTTGGGCAGACATATTTGCAACAATTTTTTTTACAGTTCTGCAATGATATAAGTGAAACTAAAATCAAGGTCTGTTTTTCTCTACAGAGGCCAACTAGATGTTTTTCTGCATGAAGATAATCCTCACCATTTATTTCCCTCCATCTACAGCCCCAAGTTCTGAACATGTAGGTACCATATAGCCATTACATTTACAAATAGTTTGAACTAATTTCTTGTAAAAGTTATCTCAGCTAATAGCAATCACAATTTCTATGGGTGAATAAATTTTATTGTTTTAAATCCTGACTCCATTGAAGAGTTTTATTTTATGAATCTAAGATCTAGGATAAAAGATGGAGAAAAATTTGTAGAATCACAGAATTAGAAAGTTGGAAGAAGTCATTTAGGTCATGAATTCAAATAAAAACATTATCACTACAAATACATTCAGTAATGGTGACACCCCCCCCCCTCCTTTTCCCTACTCTGGTAATTCCTTCCATAGTTGAATTCTTTTTACTGTTTTGTCTAACATTCAGCTGGAACCTGCATTTGTAACTGAAGTCTGTTTTTCAACATCCTGCATTCTGGGATGATAGAGAACAGGTCTTAGCTGACATGGGTGTTCTTCACTATTTCTCTGTCAACTGCTTTCTGAACAAATCTGAAAATCTATCATGTTCCTTTTTAATCTTTTTTTTTTCAATTAGCAAAAGAGTTCTAGATTCTGTGACTGGATTCACAGATCACACTATACCATGGTTTGCTTAACCATTGTTACTTCAATAAACCACAGCTGGCGGAGTTCACATTGCATGCTAAGTCAAAAGTAATTATTTTAACTATGTTTGAGCATGATGTGTGAGTCCTGTAGTTAGCCTTTGCTCCGTAGAATAAAGTTCCAATTGTTTGATTGGTTGCCCTTTTCTGAAATTTTCTGTAATATCCTTGTATATGTATGTATTACATGTACAGTAGTTATATACCACCCAGTATTTGGATAGGTCCAACATTCTGGAATGTTTTTGAGATGGGTCAGTCAGAATTCTTCCATACTGAATTTATAGTTGATAAAATGATTGTACTACTTTTGTTGTTACTGAAGTGATGGATAGTTTCTGCCTTTTAGGAAAGACTATCAACAGTAAAAGAACCAGAAATCAAGAAATATGCCATAGACTAACATTTGGTAGAGTAACAATGAAGGCCTTGAAAAAGTTACTCAGATGCTATGAAATGTCTACACCTATGAAGATCAGAATCATGTAGGTAAAAGTTTTCCCTGTGACACTCTATGGAAGTAAAAACAGGATAGAAAGAGTATCGATGCTTTTGAATTCTGTTGTTGGAGAAGACTCCTGAGAATACCAAGGATAGCCAAGAAAACAAATGAAACAAATCAATCCATAATTCTCAGTTGAGACACAAATGACCATTACTGGTCATTTGGACAAGTTAGTGAAGATCTAGCTCTTTGAGATGTCAGTAATGCTGGGTAAGGTGGAAGGAAAGAGAAAAATAGGACAACCATTAGAAAGGTTGTCAGAATTTGTATGGGCTGTTTCAGTGGCTGTGGGTGCACACTGAAATATATGAAGAATGAGGTTGAAAACAGATTGTCCTGGAGAAAAAATATCTATATGATCGCTAAGAGTTAACACAGATCTGATGGCACATAATCAATTTTTTTACTCCAGTTTTCATTTTTATATAATTTTAGCTGCATCCTTTTTAATGTAAAGTGGGATATCAAAGAAGAGTAAAAGAATAGAAAGAGTGAAAGAAAAGAAAATTAACTATATTGGAAATACATCTGCACCATAATTCATGGCATACTTATGATATTAAACAAAGGTTTTACTGATTTGGGAGTGAGTACCTAAAAATATAATTACAATTTACTTTTAGATTAGTCTGCTAGGTGGTGCTATAGGACATATTCTAAGCTACTTCCAAGCTAGCAATTTATTGTGGTGCCTTCATTGGAAGCAAACTAAAAGTAGAATTATACATGATCTTCATTTGTTTCAATTTGCACTCTTTTACACAATACTTTGTTGATTCCTGTCATAT